TCTCTGAGGCTGGGACTCTAAACAGTGTTCTGTGCTCGTCTGTGCAGCTAAACACAGAACAGTTAGCATGCTTTCTCAAACTCTCTCCGTGGCATTAGAGCTGCTACACTGCTGTCGCTTGCAAACACACAACGCCGGTGGCACGTGCAGATTAAGGGGCGGTGATATTATAATGAGAGCCTCGTCATCAGACGCGCTGGTTTTCTCAGACGCTTGCAGAAAAAGGCTTCCCAAAACTAAGTTACTGGGTTCATCTTGTTCAGGTTTGCTTGGTTTCTAGATGCACCGGGGACCTGATTATAGCACTTACAACCTGGAAGAGTCCGATTTTCATGATACGTCACCTTTAAAATAAAATACTGCACATCTGAAAAAGGTTTGTTTAATGATCTACATTCAAGATTTGAAACGATATTTATTTGACTGTTTTGTGTATAAGTGCTGAAACATGTGTTTATAACCTAATGCAAATGTAGCTTGTGTTTCCTTCTGGGAACGATATAAATGAAATCTTAAAGGACTGGCCTCTTCCCGTTCTGGTCAGCTGATGATGCACAGGTGTGATGCACAGGTGTGATGGTCAGCTGATGATGCACAGGTGTGAGGACAGGTGTGAGGACAGGTGTGATGCTCAGGTGTGATGCTCAGGTGTGAGGACAGGTGTGAGGACAGGTGTGTCTCTGGAAGCAGAAACCAGTTCCCTTAGATTAGCGAGCGGCGCGCTCACGCGAAGAGCGTCTGGCCAGCGTGCGCGCTCCCGGCTACTGTAGCAGGTTGCTATGGTTACCGAGTCCTCGTTACTCGCGCAGTTCAGCGAGGAGAGATCAATACTGTGGTCTTCGGAAACTAGTCACTTACAGTTAACGGCTCACAATGGATTTTAGCAAACTCGAAGAAATGAATTTGACACGTGACGAACTAAATCGATTCGGCGAAGCTCTAAAAGACGAGAAGTTCCGCGAGCTACTGAACGAGTATGCGGCCGAGATCTCAAACCCCGAGAACAGGAGAAGATACGAGGAGGAGATCACGCAGCTGGAGAAGGACAGAGGCACGAGCGTGCAGTTCATCCACCCTGAAGCTCATCACGTGCTGAAAACCCGCGGCGCACGCGACAAGCTCTTCATCAATATCTGCTCCGATCAGCTGATCGATAAACCCTCGTGCGAAGCGGCCACGGGCCGAGACGGAGAGGCGGGCTACAACTGGCGTCTACCGTTCAGCCTGACACCGGGCAGACCGGACCGAGACGCCGCCGGGCGCAGCTGCGTGGTCTATGACGTCATTTTCCACCCCGACGCGCTGCAGGCGGCGGAGCACAGCGCGAGACTGCTGGAGCTCCTGCACAGCACCGCCGTCCGAGGCGTCCAGGACGCGTTCCACGTCCCGCTGGACTCAAGCAGTGTAAAGCAGCTGAAGATGAAGTATAAAGGTGTTCCTCAGGCGGCTGTGATCCGCAGGCCGATTCCTGGAGAGCCGCAGCAGGGCAGCAGTGATCCGGAACCAGAACCAGGGGCCTCCTGCGCCGCTCCTCCAGATCCTGGGGACTCAAGATCTTCATCATCCAATCAGCCCACAAAACCACATTACACCGTAAAGTACCGGTCAGTCGTCGATCTGCAGGATTACAGGTGCTCCAGAGACTCGGGGCCCGGGGCCCGACCCAGAGAGATCATCATCACGGTTGATCTACCGCTGCTGGGATCCGCGCAGGACGCTGAGGTGAGCGTGCAGGAGCGCCGGCTCGTCCTGGACTCTCAGAAACCAGCGTATAAACTAGATCTTCCGCTCTCGTACCCTGTGGATGAAGATAAAGGAGACGCCAAGTTCAACAAAACGAAGAAACAGCTGACGATCACTCTTCCCGTTCAGCCAGCGAGGAGCACAGCATTACACCAGATCAGATGTGATGAGATGAAGAGTAGCGGTGAGGATGAGGATGATGCAGCAGATCAGGTTCCTGAGACCTCAGCATGCGACACGGCTGGACTACAGCATGAGCCAGAAACCGGCTTTCCTTTCGCATCTGAACCTCAGATAATCGATTTAACGACAGAACCACAGACACAGGTCAATCCAGCTGTGAACCGAACAGAACCGCAGGAACCAGATCATTCACATCTCATCTACTCTGTAGAAATGAACAATGAAGTCGACTCTTCATCAAATACAGTACGTGACTGAGCTCTTATATGAGACTTTCATCTATGTGCATTTAATATCAAGCTATCAAATTCACGAGTAATGCAGTGGATGTGATGTACTACAGATATTACTGATACTAATGTGTAATTGTTACTCTTGTTCTGTAGAAGTTTTCCAGCGAAGCAGAAATCCAAACCCGCACGACGGCAAACGGTCGAGATGAAGACATCCATGAAGTGAGCGGCGCCCTGGAGACAGAACACACACAGGCGTTGGAGTCGGACACAGCGAGTGACGCTAATGCATCAGTTCCACACCAGCCGCTGACGACAGATAATAATGCACTAATAAACCAGCAGCTGAATCACGAGGAGGATCGGAGCTCTTCTCAGGACACGGAGCCAAAGACGAGACGTTCCTCAGAGGACCACGAGAGCACAACGGAGCGATCGGAGGAACCAGCGGCTGCTGACGGTGTCATCCCGAGAGAGAGCGAGCCCGACGGCAGACACGGCTTCATTGGCACTCACAAGACCTCGGCCGCCTTGTGCTTCCAGAACTCTCTGTGGTCTGATTTGGACCTTAGCTGATAGTGTGATATCACATTATTAGGGTTTTATAGGCATGACGCGTCATATATTTAGTTTTCATTTTAGTTCACTCGAGTTGAATGTTTAAATGTAGAGTAAAATAAAAATCTTTGTTCTGTTTTGTTCAGAAATCTACTTAAACCAGAGATTGACCTTTTGAGGGTGGAAATGAAATAAAGCTTGATTGAAATAAAAGAAATGTGAAATCATTCAATCATTTCTTTGACAGCTCAAACTTTTGTTTTAATGACTTTTATTTATTTCACAAAATATATGTTGTGATGCTGGAGTTTAAAGGTCTTTTGCACAAAACTGCCCAGTGAACAAACCCTCAAACATCGAGCTAAAAGAGAACAAACACTGAAACACCGAGCAGTGCTCGCTTGTGACGCTCATACATCGTCACTAAACCACACGAGAGCGCGATCCTCGCGTCGTCATCTCAGATCGTGCTGCACGCAGCTGTCCATGAACTCACAGTAACACACGAGCGAGCAGAAGTGCTTCTGCACCGGAGCCTCGGTGCCGCCCATGTTGTCCACTAACACTACGGTGTGAGACACCAGGTGCAGGTTGAAGCTGACGGCCGTCTGGATGTAGGAGTCCACACAGGCCCGGCCGCAGTCGCAGGCTTTAGAGAAATCCAGCTCGTGACACAGGTGCAGCGGCACGGAGTGAGGGCCGTGTGGGATTCTGCC